AATTGCATTTCTTATACTTTTAAGACATATCATTTTGAGAAGCAATGGTGATATGATTACTTTCAGGACAGATAGTATTAAATATGCACATTGATTATGTTGAAACCCAGAGCATAACACCAGAGCATATAGAGGTTAAGGAACAGAGGAACAGCAGAAGCAAGAAGAGTTCTTTGCTTGAGGCCACCTTGTCTGCCTAAAGGGGACCCTAGGAAAGAGCCACAGAACCCAAAAACAGACTAAAGGTTCACAGGTGCCCAGAAGAGTTTGCCTCAGGCCGCTGATTCTTGGGAAATTTTATCTGCATAGCAAGGCAACCTTTGTTCACTGTGAATTTCCTCCTCTCCCCAAACCTGCCACCACCTCCCCCTAGCAGCCCAGCTCCTGTTCTAGTACTGTATAAATGCCAACCACCTGGCCCTTCCTGAGTGTCATCTGAAAGGCTTCTGCCACATGCACATAGTAAGTTTGTAAGCTTTTCTTCTGTTGATCTATTGTTAATTTATTGCAGTGTCTCAAGGTATTGAGCCTTTAGACAGTACAGGGAAACTTGAACTTCCTATAATACTAAGGTATCTTGATCAGGCTACAGGTACTGTTTACTTAATTAGGAAATCATAGGCTTAATGAGAAACACCCTACCTTGGTCAGAAAACTTAGGGGCTATGCCCTGTCTAGTTAAATAACGTTGAACAAATCAGGCAACTTTTGTAATTCAGTAGTCTTACTACTTATAAAATGAGATAACAATGCTGACAATATCTACTTCCTAGAGTTGTGAGAATGAAACACAATACCAAAGGCTTTTAAGACTGCTGTACAACAGTAAAATAAATAAATAAAAAAAAAACTGATGGTGTTATTGAAACCAGAGTTTTAGACCCAAGGTCCAAATTCCTGGGTTTCCACATGTCAGATCCAGCCATTTGCCCCTACACCCCAAATAAACAGAGGGATTTATTACAGGGTCTGGAACATACTGTGGGAAGAGGCAAAGGAAGCACTCAGTCCATCTTCACCCATCTTCTGGGTACAGACATGAGCTTTGGCTTTAAATAGATAAATAATTAGGACAGAGGGCAAAAGGTATGCATAGTTAAACAGTTCCAGTTACAGGTGTGTTCCAGTGGTCAAGTGGAGCCTGGTTGACCTTTACCTCAGTCTTTATTCTTCAGGGGTTTCAGAGAAGTTGTTATTGCTGTCATCACTTGTGGGGAGCAGTTTGATTCCCAAGACATGATTATTCCTGCTCCAAGTTGCAGCCTCATCTTTATATGTAATTGAGCTCATTTGGTGGGGTGGTCTGTCCTGCATAGCTCTGCTGTTCCTTAGGGGAAGTTTCAGTCCCTTGTCATAAAGATGTTATCGATCATTCCTGTCCTTTCTTCATTCCAAGATGGCCACAGGTCTGCAGGAAAGAATGGCTCGGAACAAAGGACAATAGGTACAAACCGGAGTCAGAAATGCCAAGCTTTTCTCCTGTGTTTAGTTAATTCATGGCCCAAGTAAGGAAGTGCTTTTCAGCAAAAGCAGCTTAAGCACCTCTTACATCATTTTTCTGGGACAGGTCCTGGAGTTGGTCTGTCTGGGGCTCAGGTTATAGCCCCATTGTTTACTAAACTAGTTGGTTTCCTAACCTGGAAAAGTCTTTCTACTCCTCAGTGCTTCACCTGTAGAACAGACATAATGAAAATACCTACCTCAAAGGGCATCCAATGTGTGGTGCTTGATACATACATAGTAAATGCTCAGTATGTTTTAAACTATGCTATTTGGCGGGGGGGGGGGGACAGCCCTGGAGTTTGAACTCAGGGCCTCATGCTTAAGAAACTCTATCAGTCCTTTTTTGTAATGGGTTTTTTCAAACTATTTGCCTGAGGCTGGCTTTGATCTGTGATCCTCCTGTTCTCTACCTCCTGAGTAGCTAGAATCATGGGCATGAGCCACTGGCATCAAGCTAAACTGAGATTTTTACACACACACACACACACACACACACACACACACACACACACACACACACGTTCTTGCTGCAATGTGTTTCTCAAAAAGAGAAAGATATTACAAAGGGAATTTTCATCAACACCACAGTCCTGGGTCCCACAATGCTCTTATGGAATACAGATAAATAGAACACATATGTCAGGTAAGCAAAAGGCACTCAAGAAACAACTAAGTTCTCTTGTTTCTAATCTTGAAAACACCCTACCCCCAGTTTTAAGCAAAGACAGAATAAATGCAGTGATAAATGTGCCAGAGATGGTTACAAGGTAGAGCTGGACAGGAGAAAGTAGACAGGACAGGAGAGGCGTTTTAGAGCCCTCTCCCCATCATCTGAGGCAAGCTGCATTCATCTCTTGCCTGGATACTGGCAACAGCCCCTAACTGACTTCATGCTTCTACTTTTGCCCCTCGATTCCATACACAGTAGTAACGTTGAGCTTTGAAAAATATAAACCATGTTTCTTCTCTACCTAAAGCTTTGACTCCATGCCTGGACTCTGTAGTGAATACGATCCTTTGATGCAAGAGTGTTCTTAGGTTCTCCCCATGCTCCTGCAACTGTGTTTTGGAAGGAGCTGTCTCCTGTGAATGGACACCTCACCATGAGATTCAGAGCTTCTTTGTTGTCATCCAGATCTTGATGTAGGCTCCTACAGTCTCTGCTCAGAATTCCAAATTGTGTCCAGCATGGAAGCAAACAGGCACGACATGTGGATGTAGTAAGGGTGGTAATAGAGTTCATTAAAGGTTAGGAAAAATTATTACAAAAAGCAATGGTGGGGACCCATCTGGCCAGATAGGATGGAAACAGGAAAAGGAAGCAGAGAGCACACTGTTTGAAGGCATTTAAAACCCTGATAACCTGTGCAAGGGGAAAGACCTGGGCAGTTCCTGATCACCAGTAATCCGTGATGATGAATCACTGGGCACATTTGCAATTGAAATAGAGCCCTGGCAGTTCTTAAAAAATTTTTGCAATTGAAAGAGAGGTTTCAATGAGAAAGAAAATGTTCAATCTGAAATGCAATGTTAGCTCACACATGTTTAAGATTCCCAATCTTTTTTTCTATTTCTAGCCTGCTTCAATCTCAGTTTAAGAGCACCTCCCAGAGACCTTTTCTGACTACCCTCTGCTACACATGGCAAGCTCCCCGCACAGTATTTATGTGATATTGCTCATGGTCTATCTGCAAGAGGATTCAAGCCACACGAGGGGAGCAGCCTTGTGTCTTTGTCCTGCTCCCCAGTCATGTTACCTGCCTAGCAGGTAAGAGTGACTGAGAAATGAGTTGTAATGATGGCCAAGATTATCTATTTTTGCCTTTCCTTAAATGTACAGTAATTCTCCACTTGATTTTGTGACACTTCCTGGTCAATAAGGAGCCAGATGTGGACACCAGTACTTATGGGTCCTAGATAGGAGCTTTAGCTTTTCTCCACCTCTGCTCCATCAATAAGAAGTAGGAATAATTCCTCACGGGCGATAAGGATTAGGCAATACCCACGAATGCTCAGTGAACTGCAGAGAACAGTACTCCTGCTCACCACTAGAGTTGAACATCCCTCATTTTAAAGATGATAAAAATGCAGCCCAAATTAACCATACCGAATGAATATGGATTTACACCAAGCTGTAAATCACAAACACCAAATAATATAGAAATGTATTGACTTTCAGAATACCAATGCAACACTTTTAGATGGGGAAATAATAGGTGTTGAACAATGTTGCCGTGCTTTTTTTTTTAATAAATTTTTTTCTTCTGTTTTAGACACTACTTCTCACATTGCTTGACCTTGAGGATTTAAAATGTGCTCATGATACTGTTTTGTTGTCCTTTGCTAAATCTACACTAGATGAACTGCCTTTGGACATACAATGTTGTTTATGATGTTTTTCCTTGGCTTTTTTTTCCTAACTGGGACTTGAACCCAGAGCCTTGGGCATGTTAAGCACAAGCTCTACCACTTGAGCTATACTTCGAGGCTACTAATCATTTTGTCTTCTATTTTTTACCTGGCATAGAATTTTCTGAAATTTTCTTCAAGTAGTCAGTTACCAGGATTATTTTTCAATTTCAGCAATGACTACAGAATTGTTATAATGTAATGGAAATGTCTTGACACTTTTAGGCACTTGAGGCTTTTCCTAGACACCATCGTGGGTCCAGCATTTTGAACTCTGGAGTTAGGTGCTGTTAAGATGGAACTGTAACTCTCACTAATAATAATGACTCAGAGCAACCACTCAACTTCTCTGAACTCAGTCCCTGCACTTGACACACAGCACTAGAGGCTGGGGTAGAACTCAGTATGCTTTGTATAGGCGAGACCCTGGTTCAATCCCAGCATTCCCCAATGTCTAAAAAAGGAGTCCGGGGGGTGGGGTGGGCGCTAATGATCAATCTCATAAGGTCGTTGGGAAGATTCATTCAAAATCATGTGAGTGCAATGCTCCATACTTACTAAATGTTCAGTAACAACTACTCACTTCTTCAGAGTTTTGCTTCTTCTTCTTACAATCGTAGATCAATAAAACCTTTAATACTTTCCAGATACATTCTATATTTATCATACATGTGAAATATCAACTTCACCATGTAATTAGAAGTTGTTAACCTAAAAAAGAACTACCCCCACTACCACTCATTTGTTCAACTTGCCATTGTATTCCATTTGAGTCAGCATAATCTTTATTTCAAAATAGCATTTATTATTAAAAAAATGTAAAAATCCAGCAAAACCAGAAATACGGATATATTTTCCTGGGTTTTCACATTTGTTGATTTTTATTCACAAACTGCTTTTCAATACAATTTACAACCTTGTCCCCATTTCCAGTCTGATTATACAAGTGCTAAGTAGCTGAAAGGTCTTGAATAAATACATCAAAAAAAGAAAAAGAAAAGAAACCAAAACTGTGAAACTAAGTTGCATGCAACAGGTTCTAGAAGGGTAGGGTAGAGGAAAGAGTGAGATAATGTAACTGTAAGGTTTTAGCTGAAGTTCTTTCCATCATCTTTGTCTTTTGCTCCATGTTTAAGGATACTCATGAATTCGTTGTAATTGAAATTTCCCTTTTTGTCAATAGGGGCTTCTCTGTACAGCTCATCCACTTCCTCATCTGTAAACTGATGGCCCATGGTTGTCAGCAGCTCTCTAAGGTAATCCTCCTGAATGGTGCCTGGATGGTGAAAGAAAGCAGGGAGTCATGAATACTTCATGGCACTTTAATGGTTCATTTCTAAATCAAGCCAATCTTACAAAATATTTCAGAATATCCATTATCTACATGAGCAAAATAGATTAGCAAGCTAAAGCCACTGTATAACTATGTCATTATTTTCCATTTACGTTTGGAGTTGCTGATGACTATTAGATCATTCAAAAAGCTTAGAAATAGATTATATGCTTATAAAATTAATCTTAAGCAAGTATTCTCTAAATGTTAAAAAAAACCTAGGAGTGGGGGAGTGTAAAAAAAACACCTCTATTTCAGAGATATAAAGTCAAATAAAAAATAAAAAAGTGGCTGCTCAGAACAAAAGGCAGTACTGCCAAGGCCAAATGTGCAGGAAGAAGGCACATTGCTGAGCCATGGTGGGGAAGCAGCAGAGTGTGTGAGGGATATCTTAGGCGATGTGGTCAGCAAGCAGAAGGTTAATGCAGACGAAAAAGAGAAATCTGAAGAAGAAGAAAAGAAAAAATGAGAGGAAGAAGAAAAGTGAATAGCCAGGCTTAATGGCTTAATGGATTTTTAAAAGTTTCTCCAGAGGTCCAGTAGAATGAAGAACAGAAAACAAAGCAAAACTCCAAGAAAAAGAAAAGGACAAACCTAAGACTTTAATTGTTCATGCTAGCAACTAATTTTTTAGAGGTTGAATGTCTCTTGAAGAGTAGTATTCATTGTCTGAGAGACTATTTAATGGACCATAATTCTCCTTTTGATTTTCAGGAAGCTTAGAGCCAAATTCAAAGACAAATAATACAAACTATAGCTTTAGAACCTAAATATCTATATCCTGCTCATTTTCAGGTATATTGTCCTAAAAATAAATATCTTTATTCATTTTTTCAAAACTAATTTGTTTCATTTCCTTAAAAGTATTTCATCAAAGAAATAGCATTTACCTGTTGCTTCTTCATCAAAGCAAGCAAAAGCGTTTCTGATGACATCTTCTGGATCTGTGCCATTTAACTTCTCACCAAACATGGTGAGGAACATGGTGAAATTGATGGGGCCTGGAGCCTCATTCATCATGGCATCAAGGTAGGCATCAGTAGGATTCTTCCCTGGAAGAATTCACATTTTCACATTTAAAGACTCATTTAAAGAACGCATTTCAATAAAGAAATTACTTGGCTATTATTATGTTACCAAACATTTTTTAAAAGTTACATCACAGCACTTGAAAGTAATTTTTCACTTAACTTTTCTTAAGAACATTTTAAGGGGTTAGGATATAGCTCAGTGGCAGAGCACATGCTTAGCATATAGAACGTCCTCAATTTCATACTCAGCACCACAAAAAAAAAAGAATGTTTTTTAACAATTTGAAAAATGTTTGAGACATCATTACAAAAATGCATTCTGGGAGCTGGGGAGGATATTCAGGGTAGAAAGCTTGCCTAACATGCTCAAAACCCTGAGTTCAATCCCAGGACTACACCAAAAAAACCCACAAAAAGCCAGCACCTGGACTTAGGTTGATACTGTATATCAACCTTCTGTTCATTACTTTTCATTGAAAACAAAACAAAAACCTGAACCTATGAACCAGGAAATGCCACACTATTCATCTCGAATGTTGGTAATATTAAAGGTTGATTAGGGGAGTCACTTCAATACCAGTTATTTTAAAAACTTAAATATTTCTATTTCTAATTGTGATGCACTTGTTCATGAATTGGTATGCTTCAAAATTTTTATTTATAAGTTGGCCATTTAAGTTAAAGTTATTAGGTTGGTTTGGGGATTGGTAGCTTATTTGGAACAACATTTAATTAAATACTATTAGGTTGTCAGATAGCCAGTGCTTACACATGTTGCTGAGCTGGAAGTCTTGACAGCATTGTTTGCAAAGGGAAATATCAGCTCCAGCTGAGAAAGAGTCTTCTTTCACTACAATGGTGAAAGAACTCTCCTGACTCTTCTCCAGGAGGTGGGAGAAATCCCCTGGAATGGCCAATCAAAGTGGGAATTTCTGTAGGGCCCATGACGTGGGGCAAACAGCAAGAATTTCAATTGTACTACTGGCTATGAGTCCTGTTTTGGGCAGGGGGGTGAAGGGGGGAGGGTGGCAGAACTGGGATTCAAACCCAGCATTCCAGATTCCACACTGTGTATTCAGTGCCATTCTTGTCTACAGCTTCCTTTTTTTTAATCTGTAAAATGGACTAGTTGAAAGGTCCCTTTAGGCATTAAGTCTGCATGATTCTATATAAAGGAACATTTGTTAGTCTGATGTTCATATCTAAGGAAGTACCTAAAACTTAACCCAACTAAGTGCTGATGATAGTCAAATCATATGCAAACTGCAAACCTGGGAATTGTGGTGAAATTTAAATACCATGTTGGCATCAACTTCACTGCACCGCAATCCTGTCTCATTATACCTATTTAACCAAAGAATCACCGAATAAGTGAAAGTAGTTTTTAAAACTCTGCTTTTCAATTGCAGGTTTAACACAACTTTCTTACAGCATTTTTTTGAGAGGAGGGAAGGGGGCTGTAACCTGAAGTTGTTCCGAGAACTCTGGGGTAAAAAAGACACAGAAATTTAAAAATGGATTGGTTTAGGCTAAGCACTTATGGACTCATTCAAGGCATCTGATGTAGTTTGTTGATCTGAAAGGTAAATTTAGGTCTATTTAAAGACTTCCCCCAATGGGGAGGTCCCAGAAGCAGCCTCTTGCCCTATTACCACTTGTTCATTCAACACATATTTATTGAACATCTACTATGAGCAGGGACTAAGCAAGTACACACAGATATTTTGAATGCGGAAAACACTGGATATAATCTTCCTACAAGTCAAAGAACTCTTGATTCTAATCTGACTCTGGGGTAAAGGAAATGTTGCAAAATGTTAGCAGTTGAATACAGGTAAAAGATGCACAGGTATTCACTCTTCTTTTAACTTTTTGTAAACTTGAAAGTTTTCAAAATAAGGTTATGAGGGAAAAAATCAAAATAAAAAATAAAGAACAAAAGCTAGCTAATCAGTTTGTGGACACAAAAAGTAAGCCAAAGTACCTCTCTCTCTTTGCCTTTCAGCCCTGCGATACTCTTACTGGGGAGTCAGCCAAGCAGGAGAATAACCCAAAATGTGGAGCCTCACTCAGTATAGGCCACGTCTGCCTCCAGTAGCCCCAATTCCCTCCAGCAGGGGCTAATCAAGGTCCTGCCTGCCTGCCACTTGGCCCTTTTCTCCCAACAGTAAAATCATTGCTGACTCTGGGCAGAACTTACACAACCATCCCTCTTATCCTTCTTTTAAAGGTCAAAACAAACAGTAACAAAATCATAGGAGGAATAATAAGTTCACTCCCATATACCCAAAATAACAAATAGCAGTTTATGGTTGCTAAAAAACATTTCTTTCATTATTAAAAAAAGTATGCATAATACTGTTTAAGTCCCTTTCCTTCTATTCCCTTTTTGAGTAACACTGCCCTTCCTCCCCAGGGACAATCATTATTATTCATTTTTGTCACCCTTTTCTTTACATCCTGTTCTCAATCTTTATTAACTATAGTATATTACTAGCTCTACTTATTATTCATAATTCTGATATTTTGCTGCCTAACTTATCTGCTGGCTTTCAGTCTAACAGTCCTAAAGTATGTAGCTAACAAGAACGTAAGCCTATCCAACCACAGTACCCATTCCTGCAGGTTTATCCCCTCATGTCTAGCCCAGTTCCAATATTGCACTACCACACCCAGAAATCTCTCTAAGGCCTTCTAAGACAAGGAGAGGAATATCTGTACATAACACAAAAAAATGACTCAAAGAGATGAATTATCATTTGGAGGAAAAACATACAAAAAATGTAAAGTCTACCTAAAGAAGCAAGCATATCATGCAGATCTTCCTTATCAATGCAGCCATGTCTGTTCTGGCCGATCACGTTGAAGGCCTCTTTGAACTCCTGGATCTGTGACCGGTCAAACATAGCAAACACATTGGAGGTTGCACGCTGAGGGTGCTTCTTGGGGGTCTTGGTCTTTGCCTTTTTGCTCGACATGATGGCTGTTTAATTCTGGAGTTAAAAAGACCATAAAACAAAAAAGAATATATGACACTAAGCAAAAAGAGGACATACACACCTGAAGTTACTAAGAATATCTTAAGATAGAATTATTACTTAACTGGGTAGGAAAAAGTACACATCTTTAAACTTTATTTTCAATGTGACAATTAAGTGGCTGAAAAAAAAGTTCACAGTTTTGAACGAATTAAGAAACAAAATAGGAGTGGTAGAGTGCCGGGAAGTGTGAGGCCCCGAGTTCAAACCCCAGTGCCACCAAAGAAAAGAGAAACAGAATAGAGGCCAGGCATGGTTGGTGATGGCACACACCTACAAATCCAGTACACCTACAAATCTGAGGCAGCGAGATCTCAAGTTCAAGGCCAAAACAGAGTACATAGTGAGACCCTGTCTCAAAAAACAAACAAAAAAGGAGGAGAAAGAAGAGAAGAAAGCAAAAATTACTGATGCACTTTCCCTCAAATATCATGGGACTGATTTTTATCAAGTAGAAATTAATTTAAAATAGTGAACACTAGTATTTACTGAGTACTTACTCTGTGCCAACCACTGTTTTGAAGGCTTGGGGATCCCCACAGAGAGGCTTCAAAACTGATTCTTACCCTCACAAGGATTGTCTCATTTAAATCTTACAACAATCAAAATCAATAGGTGCTCTTATTATTTCATTTCCCTAGCAATATAACATAACCTCTGTAAGCCTCAGTTTTTCATATTTGTTACTATAATGCAAGGCAAGAACTAAATGAGATACTGTATATAAAGAGACCAGTATAGTCAGCACATGATGTATGTTCAAAAGGTGCTCATCTTTAAAAAACATGCCTCATGCTTCAAACTGCGACTCTTCTGATCTCAGCCTCCCAAGTTGCTAGGATTACAGGCATGAACTACTGGCACCTAGCTCTAAGGTAACTTTTGATCCAATGTTATTCAGTCTTCACAACTGTCCTGAGATCGGTACTACCTAAATTAAAACAAAACAAAACAAAACAAAAAAACCAACAGTCCCTATGTTATTAAAGAACTTAATTAAGGTTGCCGAAAGAGAAGTCTAGCCTTTGCCCTTGGCTCCTAAGAGGGGATCTCTAGGCTCCTTGAATTTCCTGCCTGATAGCTGCAGTACTGGGTTGACCAGACAGTCTAATGATGGGAGTTATGGTGGGAGATTTGGATTATGTGGTATCAGCTTGACCTATAGAGCAGCTGAAGACTGATGTTAGCCAAGTTGGCAGCTATGTAATGGAGTCCCACTAAAATTCTGGACATCAAGGATTAGGTGAATTTCTCTGATTGTCAACCCTCTGTATATTGCCACACATTGTTGCCAGGAGGAGTTAACACTGTCCATGACTTCCCTGGGGAGACAACTGAAGCACTGTATTTGGCACCCTCCTAGATTCTGCCCCACAGGGATCTCCCCTCAACTGACTTTAATCTGTGCCTTTTCACTTAATAAACCATAACTGTGAGTATACAGCTTTCTGTGAGTTCTGTGAATCCTAACAAATTATTGAACTTGAGGGTGGTCTTGGGGGCACCCAATCTTGCCACTAGTGCCAGAATTAAGAGCAGTCTTGGGACAGTTCCTTATGTCTGCAGCCCACAGGTAACTAGCCTGCCAGGTCAGTGGCTGAGCAAGCAACCTGTGTCTTTAAGACTTCAGGCTTTTTACTTTCTTCACAAACTGCTTCTTTTCCTTTGATCTTCTAAAGCACACTCTACAGGGTGTTTTTGAAGCTTAGCTTAGTGGTGGTTTTGAAGTACACTAGCCTTGGAATCTTTTCTCTCAACATTCCAACTCCTTGTCCTCCCTACATACTTGTCCTGAATAAACATTCATTTTCTTCTCCTTCCTGAAATTTAGCTTGCTCTTTGACCTTAGTTATATTGAAGGTTAAATCAAAGACAAAATATGGTCTATGAGCTGGCGCTTAGTTTTTTTGGTTTTGCTTTTTGCACTTTCTTCCTTTTTTGGTGCTGGAGTTTGAACCCAGGCCTCACACATACTAAGTGCACAGTCTACGATTGAACTACACTCCCATCGCTATCCGACAATGTTTTAATTCCTCACATTCCAAAACTATTAGATTAAGGCTTTTTTTTGCCATGCCAATAATACTATTATTCTATTTCTTTAAGATATAACAGGAGTTAGTAAATCTGAAAGCAAGAATCAATTCTATCAGAAAATCATTTTTATAGTAAAGTCATTAAGAAAATTTTCCCAAAGAAGTTTTTTACTCTTAAAAGCGATCAATTATATCATGCAAACTCAACAGCTTAACTCAAAAATATACTACATTTAAACATTTTTGAAATTTACTCTGTGTTCTGCAAGAGGCCAATGTCAAAATGGAATTGGACATTTGAGAATTTTATAGGAGAGGTCAGGAGGTATGGTTCAAACAGTAAAATGTGAAGCACTGAGTTCAAAACCCAGCACCGCAAAAAAAAAAAAAAAGGAAGCATTTTATTAGGTAAAATGCTTATGGAGAATGGGGAAAAAAGCCTTCACAAGCTTAGTTATTTAATAAGCCTTGGAAAACACTCACTTTTGCTGCTACTTTTTTGAGCTGCTTTTTTGGAGAAAAGAATATTGCCTTCAAATTATTTTAAACTTGGTTCTGCAGTATTCTTTTTGAGACATTCTTACATTCTTTGTTTAGTAAAGAATGAAATCAGGGCTCAAATGATAGATCGCCTGCCTAGCAAGTGTGAGGCCCTGAGTTCAAACCCCAGTCCTGCCCCAAACAAAAAACATAGGTCTTTGTTTACCAGGTAACTGGAATCCTAGCTACTTGGGAGGCTGAAGTCTGGACTGGAGGATTGTAGTTCCAGGTCAGCCTTGGCAAATAGTTCTCCTAAATAGCAGAGCACAATGGAATGGAGGCATGGCTCAAACTGTAGAACACCTGCTTTGCAAACACCAAGGCTTAGTTTAGATCCCAGTCTTTCTCTTTCTCTGTCTCTCTCTCTCTCTCTCTCTCTCTCTGTTTCTCTCTCTCTCTCACACACACACACACAAATGAAAACTGTATTTTTTCTTCATCTAGTCTTATCTTTGCATCACGTGGTTCATGTAGTAGTAGTATTTTCTACAAATCATTCTCGAAGTTGTCCAAGTTTATTTTCCCTGTGCTGTTATTACTCCTTTTCTCTTTTACTGCATTTTTTGTGTTGTTTTGTGGTTTTCTGACTCAGATTGTCACTAGTGGATCAGGCTGGCCTCAAACACATGGTCCTTCTCCTTCAGCCTCCCAAATGTGGGGATTACAGAACTGTGCAACCTCTCCTGGCTTTCTTTTATTAGATTTTCTTTTTTGAAGGTACTGGAATTTGAACTCATGGTTTCAGGCTTACTAAGCACGTGTTCTGTGTCTTGAGCCACATCTGCAACCCTTTTTGAATTTTGAGATAGTGTCTCTTATGCTCAAACCAGCCTGGGGACCTTGATCCTCCTCTTGATGCTTCCTACCTTAGTCAAGATTACAGGCATGTACCACCAGTACCTGGCTGTTTACATATTGAATTACACTGCGGTCAGAGAAAGTAGGGCGTATTCTCTTTTGCAAGGACATTTTTGAGGTTTTCTTTGTCCCATGATATTTGCTGTATGATGAGATAATTTATTAGTGATTGCAAATGAGGTGAGTTATGGATATAGATTTACAAATATTTATAGGGTGAGGTTGTATCTCAGTGGTAGTGGAGAGTTGGAGTGGCAGGTGTGAAGCCTGGTATTCTTTCCTATCAAACCACACACACACACACACACACACACACACTCACAAATACTTATCTGTTCATAAGTTTTTAAATGTTTTCTATTCCTATGACAAAAGTAACACCTGTTTTCTATGTCACATATAATAATTCATAAAGATGCATTCAATCAAAACCAAACATCTCTGTGGGCCCTACCCCAAAACCCTCGTGAAGACTAAGGAAAGGCCCCTTTCACTTTGTTCATTTATTAACTTTAATATGCACGTGTTTGACTGGCTGCATTGCGTCATTGTAGCCTTTCTTCTAATTCTATGAAAATAGGCAGTGGCATTTTTAAGGTGATTTCATGGAATCTGTAGATTGCTCTCCACAATAAAGTCATTTTCAGAAGATTAATTCTGACACACCATGAACCTGGGAGATGTGGCCACGCTCTAGTGTCATCTTCAGTTTCTTTCTTCAAGGTTATATAGTAGATGTCTTTCACCTCCTTTGTTAGGTTCATTCCAAAATATTTAATTTTTTTAAGCTACTGTGAAAAGGATTGTTTTCCTGATTTAATTCTCAGCCTGTCCATTGATGCTATATAGAAAACCTACTGGTTTTGTATCCTGCTACTTTACTGGTAATGTTTACTAGATAAAAGAATTTTTGGTGGTTTCTTTAGGGTCTTTTTAGGATTCCATAATCTGCAAATTGGGATCTTTTTTACTTCTTCGCTTTGTATCTGTATCTCTTTTATTTCTTTCTCTTACCTCATTGCTCTGGCTAACAATTCACGTGTGTCATACACATTGATTTATGGTGTATAAAATTTCATGACATTTATTTATTTAGTCACATATGAGGACCTTTATTACTAAGCAAACATCTTTGTCCTGTTTCTTCTTTTCTACCCTGAACTAAACATTTACCAACACTTTATTCTTATTATATTTGCTACTAAAACTTTTGTTCATTTATTAATTTAATTTTTTTACTGAGATCTTTCTCTTCAAAGGTATCTTGCATGTGTGTTGGGAACATGTTTTCCCCTCCCCTTAAGAGGGGAGCCCTTCTTTATTTTTTTGTTAGTATATAACAGTTATACAAGGGAGAATATACTGTGATAATTACATGTGTGGTAAGCTGTTCTTATTTTCAGATTTATTATATGAGGATTGACAAAACAAGGTAAATTAAAAATATAAGAATAATCAGGTGAGGCGCTGATACGTCCAGGGACTTCAGGCAGCCCATAGAAAGTG